CAGCGTGACCATGCCCCATCGGCACGTGCTCTCTCCCTCTCCCCCTGGTGAGCATCAATACTTTCTGACAATAAAAAATAGAAAAGATACCAATCTTAACTCTAGGTTTAGATTATGCAAGGAAGTTGGTTTTATATAGTACATGTATTCCCCGATGTGCTTTCTTATAGCTGCCTTCTAGAAGAAGCTGAGTACATAAGTAGAAATACATGATGTTTTTATATTTCTAATACATTTATTAGCTAGATGGAGAGCTGGTTAATTGTTATATTATACTGAGCCTCTGCTGTGTACTTGGCAATCGTGATTATGAGAAATCAAATAGACATTAGGAAGATACTAGTATAACTAATGCATGTGAATTGTATTTGGGAAGAATATTAATGACTTGTAAAAATCATGGACTATTAAAATATTTTGTGTTGGCTTTGTTACTCAAAAGTCTGTGAGACTGACTTTTTTGGGAGTTCGATTTGGCAGGTGTCTGCCAAGAGAATCAATATTATCTCCCACACTTACCGTAGGCTGCTTCCCCAGCTCTTCCCATTAGTCTCTGATAGTAAAACTAGTGTATGGTTGCCTTTTAAAAAAAGATTTCTTAAAATTAGAACTGCACCACATTTCTCATCAAATTGGGGCTGTCAGAGTTTTTGTTTTGCTAGCGTGCACATGTCTTATTAGAGATGGGGAGAGAGAGAACAAGCACCCCTCCTTCCCCAGTGGGGAATAGTCATGCTGAAACCTCTTCTGCATCTCTTCTTCCGGTTAGGATTTTGGACACATATGCACATATACCCGGCATGTTTCTCGGGTGGTTGGGTCTGGGACCGGAACCACACACTAGGCCATGTGGGATCTGGTTCCCCTGTCCACCATGCCATGGAGCTGTCCCGAGAATATTTCTTAAAGAACGAAGGAAACCTGCAAAACACCTGAGTTATTTTGAAATGTTAAACCTTGGGATATCTGTCATTTTTTTATATACTTTCATTGAACAGCTCGGCCTGATGGACATTAATGTTTAAGAGATGTATTATCTTCTCATTCAAGTTCTGATTCTAGAAATGTCACCTAAGTTGAGTCATTCTTTAGAACTCAGCAGATAAAAATAATTTGTATAGATCTGCTTGATTGATTGATTTAGGCTTATAGGACTATAATGACATTATTTATAGCATCATGTCTTCATATCTTCTTTATATCTTCGTAAAATCCCTTTACAGAAAGACCACTAATTTAAAGTGAAACTTTTAAGTGACTGGCATTACCTAGGCAGCGTTTACAAAAACAGAATCGGAACTGACTCTCTTGTGACTGCACTGGTTCTGTTCTGACCCTGGGGTATTGGCCTCTACTCAGAGAGCTGGGAAATTCGAGACACCAGGGAAAAATTATCTAAGGGAAGATATACTTCCTACTTGTCTAGTCCTGGTCAACCAGGTAAAATGGGAATTAAAACATTTCAATAAAAAAACGTTTATCAAAGGAAGGTATGAGAAAGATTTCTCCATGAACTGAAGTAGACCAGTTACGTAATTACAGTGTGTGTGAGTTGGTGTGTTTTACAGTTGCTGAAAATAGATCATTGTAACTGCTGAAATTTAGAATGCTTGGGTTTTAAATTGTCTGCTGCTTAAAGGAAGGGAAGACTTGTTAGAAGAGCTGCCTGTAGTTTGAGGTGGGACCCCCTGCAGCTATCTAGGGCAATCAAACAAAGGGAAAAAAAGAAACCCATTGAATATTATGCCAAGGGAAGAAAGAGCTTCGGTTATCTTCCGTAAACAAGGCACTCTGCTAGTTAAAGGAAGTAAGTAGAAGATAAAAATTCTGTTTTCTCTCTTCTTTCCAGTAGAGTGCAGGGGCCCTGATGTTTAAAGACTTAAGAATAAAGAACCAAATTATGTTCAATAATTAGAATAAATATTAGAAAAAAATTGGCATAGAGCTCGATAGAATGACAGAGGGGGAAGCACGTGCCCCCAGACAGAATTGCAGACTTAGTTATAAGTACTCTT